TACTTCATGGACCTTGAGAAAACAATCCAAAAATTCATTTGGAACAAGAAGAGACCCAGAATAGCAAAAGCAATTCTAGGCAACAGAGACATGGCAGGGCGTATCAAAACTCCCAACTTGAAACTATACTACAAAGCTACTCGGGGGCACAATTAACAATGTCTGGAGGCATTTCTGGCTGTCACAACCTGATGGGAGGAAAAGCAGTACTGCTCACATTTAGTGGGCAAATGCTGCCGTGGATGATGTTAAACATCTCACAATGCACACGACAGCGCTCCTCAGTCAAGAATTGTAGGAACCAAAATGTCAATAGTACCAAGGTTGAGTGTTCCGTTACAGCGTGGAGGTTGTGCCTATTCCCATCGGTGGCCCATTCCCTAATCTTTCCCCCTGCACCCACTTATGTTTCTGACATTTGTTTTCCTTCTTGGGTGGCGATAGAAAAGGCATCTGCAATCACTAAGGTATTCAATTAATTATCCAATGCATAAAATTAAGGTAATTAAAAAGGAAGAATTGGGTTAATCCTTCTCAATTGGCCACACTCTAGTTATCCTGCAAGTAAGCTGTTAGTCTAACTCTGGAGCCTTCCTGGGCTCTGAGAAATACCCTGAGGTATTTTTTCTCTTTTCTCACATGTTTGCAGTTTGCCAAAGGACTTCCAATGAGACTTCTCTGTTGAGTATCCAAAACCTGGGAGGCCAGTTCTGAATAACATGCTTCACGTCCTAGGACCTTTCCTTGAAGTTAGTGTCACAGTGGGCATTTATTTTCAAGTTCAGGCCCTGGTGCCAGCTCTGCCACTACCTCATGGTGCCACACTGCAAAGGTCATTATTCCTCTCTGGATTTAATTCACTGCTCATAGAATGCAAAAAGAGGGTGAGTAGGTCATTTCCAAAGGCAGGATATTAAGACTATCAGAATCATCTTGGTAGGCATCAGAGGATTCAGAAATGAAAAAGGTAGCTCCAATATGGTCTTCTAGGACTGATACTCCAGTGCTAGCAAGACAGGTACTACTCCCCTAACAATGAAATATAACAATGCATACAGAGGGGCTGTTATACTTAATCACAAGAGATTATAGAGAATCACCACATCCTGAGCCAAATTTGAGCCCTTTATTTCCAGCGGTCGAGAGCGAGTTTAAGCTCGAAACACTCTTGACAATGAAAGCACCTTGTGGGTTTAAGTGGCTCTTTTAGTTGGAAAGGGTTCACACAAGTCGAATTTCACAGTAGCAGAACTTTGCTGAATTAGTAGGGGTCACGGGGGGTTTCACACAGTTTAGTTGAAACAAAATATCACACAGGTGTAGAGTATCCTGTTTGCAAGGTTGTAAAGATAACATACAGTTGCAGACTGCTCTACTAAACAGGATGTGGTGGTCTGTCATGTAGTAACCAAGAGGACTCCCAAGGGAGAAAGGGGGCGGTAACCACCCAGAATCATTCAACTTTACACAAATGGAGTCAGGTTGGCCATCACAGGGCATCATACTACCAGAGCCTTGCTACTTGTGGTTCTTGACAGTCTTTATGCTCTTCACCTGAGAGCTTATTTGAAAGGAAGACCATGGCTTCCCCAGCCAAGACTTAATGAATCAGAGTCTGCTTGCAGCATGATCCTCCCGCTGACTTGTACATGCCTTGAAGTCTGTAAAGCCGGCTTGGGAGGGCCTACAGCTGCTCTTAATAAGGATGACACAGTAATAAAAGATTAAAAGATTGGCTTGGGCCAGGTCAACAGTTTAGGCTTCCTTCTGCAAACATTTGAAGACAGTGTAAAGTATTTATACAGTGTTCTAATCCAGCGAGTTGGAACTATAGAGATGCGCCACACTCTGAGTCAAATTTCAGTCTGTTTATTCAAAGCCAGCAACAGGGAGGGGACTAGTGCCCGGAAAGAACTCTCAACACTGATGAGTGGTTTGGTTTCTCCTTTTAAACTATGCTTTCACTTGGGGAGTGCTCAAGGGGAGAGCAAGTGGAATTTTACAGAAGCAGAACCATGCCAGGTTAGTGCCAGATTAGTAGGGGGCAAGAGGAAGTTTCACATTTTTGGTGAGCTACAGAAAAACATCTTGCAGCTGCAGCAAATTTTTCTGCCAAACAGGATGTGGTTTTTAGGTGCTTTGTCCAAGCACAAATACTTTGTCCCCCACAAGCACACAATGGTGGTAAGGCTCAAGATGGAGTCAGGTTGGCTATCGGAGTAGTAGAATATAATCAAAACTGTGTGGACAAACTATAGAACAGAAAAGAGAAAAGGAGATAGTTACTAGGCTATTAGTACAGTGCAGGACATGAGACATGAAGATAGAGAAAATAATAAAATAATTCGATCTAATGCTGCTTTTGTATTTCAATAGCATGCTGACAAAAACCACAGCATTTTCTTATGATTTCAGAATCTGTCTTTTAGCCTCTTAGAAACTTAACTTCACAGAGAGATTCTAAGTTCTTTCCAAAGTGCAAATGTAAGAATCCTAAATGATGACCACGTGTAAAATAGTATATACATTTTGCATATACATATAAGGCTTGTCATCAGCCATGTCCAGATAATACATTTTCATCATCCATCCAAATTAACTGTCAAAAGAATCAAGTTTTAAAAAACAACCACTATGTACTGGGAAAGATGAATAAATAAAAGCATATAAGAAAGCCACTTCTTCTGAGATTTTTCTTTTCATCAGATAATTGAGAGTTTAGGTTAATTTCTTGAGGGCCCTTTAGTTCTGATATCTTTAACCCAGTCTCCTAGCAATGCCATTCATTGAATAAATGCATCCTGAGCACAGATGGTGGCAGTGAGGGCTGTCCAGGCACAGGGACATGATGCTGAGTCAAAGGAAACATGTTTCATAGAGCCCCACATCTCCCCAGGATTCCTCTGGGTAGACGAATCCAAAACTGCAAAGAAATGCCCTGAATTTTTCAAAGCTTAACTTTGAAAACATGGTAGAGAAGGTAGGTTGGCTTCTTGCAACTCCCTTACAAACAGAAACATATTCTCTCATAGTTCTAGAGGCCAGAAGTCCACCATGAAAGTCTTGGTCTGGCTCTGCTCCCTCCAAAGCCTTTAGTGGACAATCCTTTTTTATCTTCTCCAGCACCTATTGGCCCCACATGTTCTTTGGCTTCTGACATATAATTATGGTCTGGCTCCATCTTCACAAGGCTATTTTCTCCTCATATCTTCTGCTTTCCTCTGATGTGGACATTTTCATTAGTTTTAGAAGCTAACAAATAATCTAATATGATCTCATATCAGCAAAGACACTTTTTCCAAATTATGTCAAATTCAAAATTCAAAATTGTTAAACCCAAATATATCTTTTGGGGATCTACTATTCAATGCCCTGCAGAAGGGATGGCCACAAAATGATTAGGTATTGTGAATCTGGATAAATAAATAAAACTAACATTCCATCTACAGAACCAGCTATATCTACAGAACTAGCTACATTTAGATGTAGCTAAAGCCTCATGCAGTCACATTTAGGGCTTTTAGGAGGCAACTGGATCATGGGGGGATGGTACTCATCAGTGGACTAATCCACTGAATGTGACGTGGGGAGATAATGCCTGATTGGAGGAGGTAGGTCACTGGGGCATGACCTGAAAGGGTGTGTCTCCTTCTGTCTTCCCTTGGTCTCTCTCACTGTTTCCTGCATCCATGCCATGAACTGTTTCTCCTCTCCCATGCCCCTCTGCCATGCTGCCGTGCTGCCTCGGACCCAGCCAACGAGAGACTGAAACCTTTACAAAATGTGAGCCAAAATAAACCTTTCCTCCTTAGAGTTGTGGGTGTCAGGTATTGTCTCTCAGTGACTAGAAAATAACTAAGACACAGCCATTTCAACTGTGTTCAAGTTTCTCCCCAGTTAAGTGAAATGACATCAACCAAGTAGATGACTGAGGTATCCCAAAGCCACATACTTTGTCATCTGTATCATCTACTTAGTCTGGGAACCTTAAGGATGACATCGGTGAACTTTTAGAAGCGTTTGAATAAGCTGGTGGAGCTTCAGAAGAAAAGAAGCATTTAATTAAGACAACAATTATAGGGCCGAGATTTAGCTCAGTGGTTTTGCCGCCTGCTGTGCAAGCACAAGGACCAGAGTTCGATCCCCGGTACCAAAAAAAAACAAAACAGGACAATTATGTTAACCCTCTTAGAGAAAGCCTCTTAGAATCAGTCATTAATACAGCTTTAAGTGACTACAGAAATAAAACAAAGCTTCATTACTCACAGGGTTGTGAAGAGAGTCTGGGAAACTAATTTTGAAGAGAACGAAAGTTCGGTTTGAGGTTGAAGGGCCTTGATTTTTATTTTACTGACCTTTACAGTTTTCAATGAAAATCCCTCCAAATTCATTATGCTTATTGGATGAGTGTTGTTGGGCACTGGAGCTGTGGGATAATAAGAATTATGGTGTTATTATTATCCTTAGTATTAAATCACATGATGCAATCTCATCAGAATATGAAGAAAATTATATAATATATAATCACCATTAATCACTTAATATGAGCAATCAAGTTGAATGAAAAGCTGTTCACCTACTGTGATGTACTCAAATCTTTTAAGCCAGATAATATATACTTTTTGCTTGTATGAGTTTTTATGCTACCTGCAAGATTTATCTGAGATACATGTGAAGAATCTAACTGTAGCACAAATGTATGAAGCAACCTCATTGAATAGGATAAGATAAGCCTACTGTTGGAAATCAGTGCAATCTATGAGATCAAAAGCAAAAGAAATTTTATATAAACATTGTGCTCTGATAAAGTCTTTTCCCAAGGGGGTCCAAATCAACTGTGAAATCATGTGTACTGGCATTGAAAAAATAAGTAATTGAATGACACATCGTAGGAACCAGGTTTTTCTTGTTGAAATTGGAAACTAGAAATAAGCAAGGATAGGAGGCTAGAATGATTCGTGTATTAATGGTTAACGTTGTAGACACTGGTGGAAAATAATATTTAGCTTAATAAAACTACAGATATAAAAATGTGTATAAATAAGTATACATACATTAGTTAGAATATACAAATATATTTCCTTGTCATGTCAACTGAGAGTTATTAGAAGCAAGGATATCTCAGTTGTAAAAGGCATATCAAGCTGCCCTGGATCTTAATTTCTATTATTATTCTTTTTAAAAAGTTTCCTTGGAAAGTGGCTGGTTCTGGGACTGGGGCTCTAACACACAATGTGACCCTAAAAGTCTGGAACATATTGTGTCAGAAAGAAGGGACATGCTAAAAACAAACAAATAAATCAGACAAAAACGACCAAATAAAGAAAGAAAAACTACAGTGATGAAGCTATGTCAAAGAACAATGGGAACATTATAAAAGCTTCCGATGGCCAAAGATGGTATAATTGGAGCAGTAAATTACAACTATATTAATCATAACCCAAACCATAAATCAAATATCTATGAGTCTATACTGGCATGAGGAAATGATTAAATAAATGGAGTAAATAAATTTCTTATACAAAGAAACTTCAAATAATTTTTTAAGATACTGTACTCTGCTTCAAGGAGATGGACTATAAGTCATTACATGTTAAGTATAAGATGCGTACAAGGATTTTTTTCCCAAAATTGTAGTATTTCAATGGGAAGTGAGAGTAAGTTTAAATGAAAATGTCTGATGAACGCTACTAAAGCTACTCACCAAGGTTAACAGTTCAATAGTGCGAAGGCATCTTCATATCATGAACTTTTGCTAAGGTGTAATGAGAAAAGCACTTTACTTATGTGAGTTTCCTCCAAAAAACTCTATAATCTCAGTCCAGCCATGAGAAAAACACCAGAAAAATTCTGCTAGAGGGGCATTTTACAAAATCCCTGACCAGTGCTCTTCAGACTTCTCAGGGTCACCTGCAAAAGGAAGGAGACAAGGCACCCTATAGTAAGGTGCCACACTAGCTGAGGTTCTGGAAATCTAAATCCAAATAAAGTATTAATTTCAGTTAATAATTATAATGTATCACTAACAGCTTATCAAATGTGACCAATATACCACAATAACACAAGATGTTAATAAAGGGGATACTGGGGCAGGGTGTATGAGAATCTTGTAGTATTTTCTAAATTTTTCTGTAAATCAAAAACTATTCCTATAGAAAACATTTATTTAAAGGCCAATCTATGCATGTTTATCCACTGTTTCCAAAACCTTTTTGACTATATAAACCTCTTTTGCTGATTTGTATATTACCCGCTAACACCCAGTTAAACTCATGTTTTGCAGAGTTCCTTGGAAAATGTTGAGTGAGATGGTTGCTTACAGTTCTTCTAACTTTAAAGCTAAGTCTTGGAAGCTTGGACCAAAAAAATATGGATTTGTGGTACATCCTTTCCAAATGGCAACATGTAAAGTATCATTTCTATTACCCTGAAGTAAAGAAGTGAAAGTGGCCCATCCTCTCAGGGGTGTTGGTTGATTCAGCGTGTTTGACAATTCCTCTAAAGTCACTTCTCTACCCCACTGTTAGGCTCCATCCTGGTCAGATGAACGATATACACATAAATGGCTTCTATTCTAAAATGTCTCTTGTTTGGGGTGCTATTTATGTCCAAGTCATTACCTGAGCAGCAATTTCTTAACTTTTTAATTTGCATCTAGTTTCACGTTCACTCTCTGCTTTCAAGCCATGGTTACAAAGTAGGGAGCTTGAAGGCATCAGTTTTAGCAATAATTAGCACATTCATCACTGAAAAGGAAGCCTGCTATTTTTCAAGACCCCTGATGACAACACTGTCACAGTCAAATGAGAGGATGCACGGCAGTAAATGCTGTTAACTACAAACCCACATCCAGCTATGGAAGCAGAGGCTGACTCTCTTGCGTTCACTACTCTCTTGCAAACATTTGCTGACACTTTCATCTCCTAATATGGAACATGACCAACTCTCCCGTAAGAAAACCCACCCTTTCTTCAAAGCTCATCTCAAATACGCTTCTTCCACTTATCTTTTCCAGATTCTGAAGTCAGGACCGCCATAGTGCTCAATACTCTTTCATACTGCTAGTGATCCATTCCTTGCTTTTAATTTTCTATGTATCTGTCATGTCGTGTTTCTATCATTCATGAAATATCTGAGCCATATTTTTAATTTCTCTCTCTTCACTTGCTGCACAAACCCAAGCAAGAACTAGTCCTGTCACTACGACCTACTTTGTGCTCCCCTCTTCCCATCACCCCTTAAGGTTGCCTTCAGCCCTAGCAACTCTCACTTGCAAAACCAAAACATCAACCTGAACCCCAGTGCTGCTCTCACTCTGCTCAACTCCCCAGAACACTCTACAATTAAAAAATAATCATATCACAGTTAGTATCTTTGCTAGGTCTCCACTGTCCTCAGGATGACCCTCAAATGCCTTAGCACTGTGCTGCCTTGCCATTTTCTGACCTTCAGTGTCCTTTCTTACCACTCTGACCTAATCATATACAGAACCAAAGTTTTCTTAAGATGCCAAGTCCTCCCGTGATTCTGTCATCCACTGCCTCAATCATCAGCTACGCCGCCCCACTTCATCTGAACGACTACGCATGGTTCATTATGATCTCACAAATGTACCATCTACTTCAGGAAGTTTTCTTCAGCCTTCTTAAAAGCCAAGCTGGAGGCCTGTGCTTACAGCACTTCAGGCATACACCTAAATCTATAAAACTAAGTATATATTCCATTCAATTATCATTATTTTTTATCTGTCTCTCCTTCAGACCATGAGTTCCATCTTGGATTAAAATCAAATGATTGAAATATACACCCCATCTGAGGACATTCCATCACTTGGGTGGTTTATGGTACAACAATCTGCTCCTAAACTAGTATTTTCCTTTTGAAGGACCTGAAACTAAAGCCTTATCTCTGAGGAATTTGTCTAGTTAATTAGACCAAGAACCAGTCTTCTTCTGGTAGTTGGTGACCTGCCAAAGACCTACTGCACAAACTAACCTGTTACTTGAAAACTTCCTGCTCTAAATCCAGCTGCTGCTGGTGGGGAGAATAATTGAATTCACTGAAACAATCTGTCAGTCACAGTCACTATTTGTGTTTTCAAGTCAAACTACTGCCTCAGCCAAATGGAAAACTATCCAGTTCCAGACCCATACTCTAAGCCAGTTAGCCCCCTGCCTCTCTGCTTTTCTCGAGAAGCCAAAGGCAGCTCCACTTATGGGTGAGCTGAGTGGGCAGGAAACTGTCCAGTGAGAGATGAGGGGTGAGGGAAGGGCTAGGCAGGAGGCATCTCCAGTTCCCCACTCAGGAAAATATGTTTCCCTTAGAAAAACTTTATGCTACATTTACATATACATGCTAATTCTATTTGTACCACTAGTTTCTCTTACTTCACTGAAGAGAAAGTTTTGTGTTTTTATCTGTTTCCTCTTTGTAAGAAGGAGTCTTTTTTGTGTATGACTTTACTCTGAGTAACATTCTGGCCATTCTTTTAAGATTATGATACACAGTGTATTAATTCTTGTTATTCTCTAATTATTTTGTTATGAAATTTGGTTTTATTTTTTCATAGGTGAGTTTTTAATATTTTTATTAATATCTACTTGTATTACATTATGCTGAACATGAAAATAATAAAAGATTAAAGTAACCAAGTACTAGAGTAAAAATGAAAAAAATAATTTGCTCTCTGCTGCAGAAAATTAAATTCTTGCAAATAGTTTAGAGCAGGGGACAGCAAACTCTTGTTATAGAGCCAGAAAATATTTTAAGCTGTGTGGATTCAGAGAAAAACTGAGGCTACTGTACAGGTACTCACATAACTGTTTAAATCTATTTATTTAAAAATGTAGGGAAAACAACTCCTTAGGTTGCCTCTAAGGTGCAGCTCATGCTGTCGAGTTGCCTCCCGGCTCCACAGCAGCACTTCAGCTACTTGAGGGGGACACTCGTGCTAGCATATCCCCAGATGCCACCCCACGGGCCAGCCCTGGCCTCTTAGCCTTCCTCCCTTTCAGAGTCCCCAGATGCCCCCCATTCGGTTGCATTTGTCCTGCATTCCATCAAAGATCATGGCTCTCAGAGTGAAGGGACGCAGTATTCAACGTCTTATTTGTGGAGCATAAACTTTGACAAGAGATTCTTATCAGACTCCATACCCCTACAGATGTTCTCTTGTTCTCTACTCCTACCTGTTTCACATAAGCAAGAATGTCTCACGAAAAAGCTGAACAAGATAATACGTGAACCAATGTTTTCAGAAATAGGACAGGGCTCTGATCCTTAAGAGAAGGAAGGCACATGACTTTGTATTAGTCAGAGCTTGCTAATGAAACAGAACTGGTAGGATGGATGGGTGGGTGGGTGGATAGACGGATGGATGGATAGACTGATGGATGAATAGATGGATGGATGGATGGATGGATGGATGCATGATTAGAGTGACACTCATTATGGGAATAGGCTATTCTGATTATAGAGAGCAGGAAATCCCACGATCTGCCTTCCACCAACTGGAAAACCAGGAAAGCTTCCAGTGTAGTTCAGTCTGTGTCCCAAGGCCTAAATACCAAGGGAACCAATAGTGTAAGTCCCAGTCTGCAGACCCAAGAATGAAGAACACAAATATCTTGTAACGGGAGAAGAAGTTCTAGTTCAAACACTGTGAGTTTCCTCTTCCTTGGCTCTTTTGCTCTATTCAGGCCTTCTACCAATTGGGTGACTTCAGAAATAACACCCAGAAATAAAATTCTACCATCTAGCTGGACAGCCCCTAGCCTAGTCAATTGGACAAAAAATTAACTATCACACCCTCCCGTTCACACTGTCTTCTTCAGGACTGGGGATTGAACCCTGAGCTACATCGCCAGCCCTTTCCAAACTTGTGAAGCACAGTCTCACCAAGGCACCAAGGTGCCCAGGCTGGGCTTAGACCTGCTGTGCCCCTGCCTCAGCCTCCGAGCGCTGGAATTACAGGTGTGCAGCACCACACCCAGCTACTTTGCTTCTTCTAGAGGGTATTGTCTAAAGCAGAAATAGAGAAATACTCAGGCAGACGACAACGGTTTTTCAGGGTTGAGGAAGATTAGAGTCCAGGACTGCCAACATGCTTGAGACTGGAGGAGCAGAGAAAAGAAGGGACGAGCAGAGTCTTAATCCTCTATGTGAGAATATTGCTTGGGACCTGAGAGCGGCTGTTGGTCACAGTGAAGAGCGAGTCCTTCGTGAACACAAAATCCCTTGACGTTCACAAACTGCTTACCCATACGCACTCCCTGACTCTCACAACAGTCTCTAGAGATGCAAGGAGGAGAGGAAGGTTCCGAAATTATCGGAACTATTAATGGAAGATATGTCCAGTGCTACAAGCAGGACTGGAACATTTGCTGACCACTTGCTCAATGAGGACACTTTGCTAAGCCCGTTCCTTAATCAGCTCATCTGTTCTGAAAAGCTAAACCTGCTGGGAGCCCCACTGTGCCTCTGCATCGCTGCTCACTTCCCAGGCTGAGCCGCATGCTCTGCACCCTTCCCCACGCTGCTGCCTCGGCTCCCCTTGCGTGGGAACATTTCTTCTGTAGTTGTGCTTACTTGGAACTGAGATTGCCAGGAGCTGGGCTCACTAACACCATGTTTTAGCTGATTTGTCTGGATGTGAGAAGTAAGTCCGTTTCCTAGCAACCCTGGCCCCTGCTCACTCAGTTCGCCCTACGCATGATCTTCCCCATGATCAACTACAAATTAGCCGAATTATGGCTAGGTTTGCGCTTTCCCGGAAATGGAACGAGCACTGGCAAACACTTGTTCTCTTGGCACGAAGTGGCTCTGAGGACTCCTGCTTATTGAGCACAGAGCTCAGTGTGGAAGCGGTCATGTGTCTCAACGTGTCTATGGATT